CACACACACACACACACACACACAACTCTCTTAGGAAAAAGTGACGAAAATTCTCTTTTCACCACACTTAGTTTCCCCGTCTGGCCTTCCCCAGGGTACGTACGCGACTGTGTTCAAGGGCAAGTCTCGGCTGACAGACAACCTGGTAGCTCTCAAGGAGATCAGACTGGAGCATGAGGAGGGTGCACCGTGCACTGCCATCAGAGAGGGTGAGTAACAGATTCCTGTACGTGCACACACTCGTGTGTCTCGGGGATAGTAACGAGTTAGTTTGTTGGATGGTTGGAGGGCGCCACTGGTAAGTCCTGCTGCTTTACTTTCCCTTTTTTGTTTGTTTCTGTCTGTCTGTCGTACTTTTACCCCAGCACTAAATTATCATTGTTATGTCAATGTTCTTCTTACTCATGCAAACAAATGAGTTAACGTTATTCTGAGAATGCTTGTTTGAAAATCCTGTCTACCGTTGAGTGGACGGTATATTTTCATCTCTTTCTGGACCTCACTTAGATACACCAGAGTTCTGCGGATGGTTGAAGGGAGTCACTCGTAGGTCTTACTTCTTTTTTCTTTCCTTCTGTTGTTTTTGTCTGTGCTGTTATATCCTTTCCCTGCACTAAATGAAGGTCATTGTTTTGATGTGCTTCAAACAAACAAAGCAAAATCACCAGAATTGTCTTACTGCAAATGGCCGGTATTGAAACATGAGGCATGCTATAAAGAGTTTTAGAAAATCATTTTTTATCTTTTGAACAATTTTCCAATCCTTGTGAAGAACCAACGGACCACTTGACTATCATCAGTCATGGAATAATGAGTTACTGATTATTGACAATGACAGTGTTTCGTGCTCAGGTGGCTACTTTTAGACTAAAATTGTAAACTGAGTAGTGAAATATGATGAGGTCTATACTCTGAAGTGAGACGATAAAGACTATGATTTCCAGAGGTCTGAGTGTATGTTTTTTCCTCTCCTGATTAGACCGCTTATTTCTAACTATTTTATTTATGGGAAGTCGGTTGGAAAGGTGCACTGCTATAAGAATACTCCTGACTTATTTTTCAGTGATAACATTGTTCACAATCCTCATTTGTGTACTGAAGTGACTTACCGATGCGTGGTTGAATGTTGAGTCCACCCACTTAAAAAAGAAAGGTTCCAACTTTCGGAAACGAGGCGATTTTCCCCCCCATTTGTTTTCACCATATTTGTACTGTTTGCTAAAAAAGAGTTTGTGTGTTCGTATATGTGTATGCTTATGTTTGCTCATGTATTTCCAGGTGTGTGTGAAAGTTTATCTGTATTTTCATTTGTGTGTTTGAGTTTGTTACTTTCATTTTGTGTATGTTTGTACCTACATCGTGTATTTTTGCACATGTACTTTTATGTGTCGTGTGTTTTTGTGAAAAATAACGTCTGGCGGCAAGATTGAGTTTTGTTAGTTATTTACTTTCTTGTTACTCTTAAAGAGGGGGTCTGGTCAACTTTATTGTATAGATATTTCTCACATAAGGCTTTGGATCCTGGTGCCCTAAACCAATAGATCCTATATACTTGAGCTCGTGGAGAAAGCTAGTCATTCATATCTTCACACTGAACTGAACCATATGTTTGATGTGTGGTAGGGTAATGAATGATGCAGTGCTGTCTTTGCTTATATTGTCTATTGTTTATATTTGTATATTTTTGCTCATGGAGAGTACATTGTGATATATTATATGTACTTGTAAGATAAATATATGTATTCAAATTATGTATATATGTTTTCTTTGTTTTCTTCCCCAGTGTCTCTGTTGCGGGACTTGAAGCACGCCAACATTGTCACACTACATGATATTATCCACACGCACAAGTCCCTCACCCTAGTCTTTGAATATTTAGTAAGTCACATTGCCTGCCTGTACTTATATTTTTTTATATTATTTGATCTTTTCATCGCTTGCTTTGTAAAGAATTAGCTTGTCATTCCCCTTTTTCTTTCTTTCTTTCTTTCTTCCTTTCTTTCTTTCCTTAGACGTGTCTTTCTTTTCTTTCTTTCTTTCTTTCTTTCTTACTCTTTCTGTCTCTGTATTAATCTCCTTCTCTTTCATTGTTTTGTCAGTCTGTCTCTGTTGACTTTTTTTCTCAGTCCATTTCTGTGATGCTCTGTGATAGTTTGTTTGATGGTCATGCATTCATAGTAATAGGACATGGTCTCCTGTGCCATAATAAATCTTTTCTAGAAAAACAAATTCACATATCCATCTCTGTTTCCACTTTAGTCTTTTCTTTTCAACATTTTCACCAAATGCTTCTCCTTAAGATCTTATTTGAAGGAAGATAAATGGGTTACTTCTGGTCACGGTCAGCGTTCTTTTTTGGAGAAGTTATTCCCCCCCCCCCCCCCCCCCCCAAATGCGCACCAATTATAATGAGTGCTAATGGAAGGAAAGTACTCAAAAGGCTTAGCATAATACCCTCAATATATGTTCCTTCAGTGGCAAAGCAGTCTAGCAGTGTGGATTGTTGCCAGAATTGCTTTTTGTGCTTCCTAACCGAGTCTTTGCTTCACAGGAAAAGGATCTCAAACAATACATGGATGACTGTGGTAACATCATGAGCATGACCAATGTCAAGGTGAGAGTTCAGTGTGTCTTGTCCTTTGTAGCATGTGATTAACCATCATTCACTCGTTTCTTTCTCTGCCTATTGCTAATTAGCTGATTACTCCTGGTTGAACTAAGAAATGTAGTTCAAAGCTCTTTTCCGAGGGGTACTAGGTGGTGCCCGATGGAGTCAGGGATGGAACCCCTGTTTTCGCAAGGGATGAAATTTAGGTTCTTTCGACCGAACCAATAATCTTTTAATGGGACCCACATTCTTACAATTGAACCCATAATCTTACAACTGAGCCCAGTCTTACATGGAACCCATAGCTTTGCAGCGGAATCCATGTTCTCATGTTACAAATGAACCTATCATCTTTCAATGATTACATTATCTTTCTTACAATATAATTGAACCCCTTGTTTTACAGCAGAACCCTCAACTTACAACTGAATCCACCACTTTATAATAGGGTCCATGTTTTTACTATGGAACCATGATCTTATAATGGAGTTCAAAGACTTCGCAACAATGCCCATGTTCTTACGATGGTACTCATAATCTTATGGTGGAACCCATGTTCTAACAATTGACAGTGTGCTCAAACACTGTACAAAGATGCCCATGGCTGCTTCTACATCATGTTCAAAGTCAATTATCTTTGTGTTTGGGAAAAGCCCTTCCATGTTGTGAATGAGGGAAATTGTGTCATGGAATCTAACGAAGAATATGTATGTCTGTTTTGGTGTAACTGTTGAGGATAGTATGGTTCTGTTCTGTGGTCAACTAATTTTACTTCTTTTTAGGACTTCGTTTGTCCTGATATTTGTTCCTGATAAAATGTTTCTGTTTTTCTTTTTGAGGCAACAATGTGTTAAACTGAATCATGTCTGTGTGTTGTTGGAGGGTGTCACTGGTATGTCCGACTTCTTTTCATTCCTTCTATTGTTTATATGTGTATACCTTGCTTTTTATCTGCATCACATTGCCGTTTTCATGTTGGTGTGCTGCTTCTCTTTTCCTTTTCACTAACAAATGAATCTCATGCCTTTTCGATTAATTTTACTTTATTTTCTATTGTTCACACTTTGTCCATCAAAGGAAATTGTTAATCCCTCCCAGCCTGACTCGGCCCAGTGACAGAAATATGCAATGTTTGACCCATGATAAGAGATATGTGCACAACCTGTACTTATTCATTATGAAAACTTTACTCATCAAATGGGTGTTTTATGTGATGTGATGCGGGCCAATGGCCTTAAACTCTGAATAAACTTTCTAACTTACTGAATCTCATGCCTGTGTGTCCCCCATGTCTCCCTGCATCTGCACCTGTGCCGGTGTGTAGCTATTCCTGTTCCAACTGCTGCGCGGGCTGGCTTACTGCCACAAACGCCGAGTGCTGCACCGGGACCTCAAGCCACAGAATCTGCTCATCAATGAGAGAGGGGAACTCAAACTGGCAGATTTTGGTGAGTGTGCTTTTTGTCGTCTGATGTGGAAGTGGGGAAAGAGTATGTGCGAGTGTGGGAGCCTGCATGTGTGTGTTTGTGTGCATCCATTAGTCCATGTGTGTTTATGTTGTAGAGGGATCTGTTTATGTGCTTGCTTGAAGAGTGCATGTGTGTTTGTATGATTACTGAAATAAAAGTATGTTCGAGCGTTTGTGTAGTTAATATATATGTGTATGTGTATTTTCTTGTAATAAGTATGTCTATGTGCATGTGGTAAGTGATTAAAAAGTGTGTATATTTATACATGTTGTATATACGTGTATGGGTGGATTGAAGAAGTATGTGTTTATGTGTTAACACATCTGTGTGTGGATAAGAATGTTGGAAGGGAGAGGGAAACAGGGAAACAGTATATGTGTAGGTTCATGTGTATGAAAGTACAGAGAGAGAGGGGGGGGAGCGAGAGAGAGAGAGAGAGAGAGAGAGAGAGAGAGAGAGAGAGAGAGAGAGAGAGAGAGAGAGAGAGAGAACAGAGAGAAAGAACGACAGAAAGGGTGTATATACACGCAAAAAACAAGACGTGAGAATCGAAACAATCAAAATTCATAAAGCTGAGCGAGACGGACACGAACTTTCAGGTATATCATAGACGTAAATAGCGATGGTCATAAATCAGAGAAGGTACTCAAAACAAAGGCACGTAAACAGACAAATGTGTGTCGACGAAAAGATATGATGCAGACCAAGAAAGCTGAATGACGGAATAGTCTTTCAAAGAAATTGAGGAAAGGAATTGTTTTTTAACTATAAAAAAAAAGTGAGTTTTTCTCAAAGTTGATCGGTTCCTTTTGCGAGTGAACCACTAATGACACCCTCGTTACCACATGGTCTAGTGGCCTGTTCTCGCCTGCCATCTCTGCGACCGATCTATGGAACAGGGCTGACCTCCATTACCCTAAGCGTTATCTTCCTCATCAGAAGGGTATTGGAATGCGGCACTTCCACCAACCCCCCC